ATTCCTAAATAATAACAATATCCAACTTGATACATTCCGTTAGAATTATTCATCTCTGCAGATTTTTGATAATAACTAAATGCCTGGTTTACATCCTTTTCAACGTCAATTCCATATTCATAGCGATAACCAAGCAAGTACATTTCGTCTGAATCATTCATATCTGCCGGTACTAATCGTTCTTTCGTTAACTCTTAATTTTCTATTTTGACGTGTGAGAAAAAAAATTAATAATTTTAATGCATCATATCGATGTAATACGTATCTTTATTTATACTTACAATTAGGGATGCCTGCTGCAAAGTTACAAGATCGAAGTCTATGTGATTATCGCTACGTATTAATATCGTAAATTATGTATACTGCTGGGTTAGCATCAGTCCACAAAAAATTGTCCACCCCGTGATTTTTGACCAATCAAATTTCAAATTAGGTGTGACGTAAACAATCAAAGCGAACCACCTTTTTACAAAAAACGGAACTCGAAATTTTAATTAAGAAACCGCCTTCTGCAGCCTAATTAAAAATTCTTTAGTGAAATTTTACTACTAAACGCAAAGTTATTTAATTCTAACCCAAACTATAGCGCAGTTTTATTTGATAAAAATACAAAAAGTACAATTTTTTAAAAAAGCTATCTAAGATTCAGTCCGGCATAATAGAATTCGAAATTGTATTCAAGTTGTTAATTATTTTATCATTTAGAATTTAAGGGTAAATTATATATGTGCAAGGTTTGTTTGTTTGGCCGCAGTACATAACTATAGTCCGATAAATCATAGACATTCATATATATTGCATAAATTGTATTTTTTATTTAAATAAAAAAAGTTTAGACAAAAGAGTTTTGATGTATATTATCTTTTTCCGTAACCATTGTATCGACTAATTAAACAATATAAAAAAAAGTTAGTTATTATTACAACTATAAATATATATACAAAGCAAAGTCGAAATAGTAATGAAAGGGTTAAAGAAACAGTGTGACTTGCTCTGGAAACAAGAATTTCGCAAGACTTCTTGGCCACTTAGAGAAGATAAATAACCCAAACTTTTCGCTCTCAAGTTTTTCCTTACAAGCGGAAGTGACAAAAACCAGAAACATATTTGCTTCGGCAACTACGTGCGCCTCAGAGACTATTGACAATTGTTCAATGTTGATTTTCATCGCTTAGGCAAAGTCATTGTTCTCTGCAAGAAGTCCTGGTACCGAAATCGTCATCTCCTTTACACTGATGATTCACAATAACACTTACTCCTCTCGATAATACTGCTTCAATACCATATATATATACCTTTGTCAGTAGTAATCACTCTATATAAGTCCAAGAGAAAAACAAAATGCGTCAAAAAATATTCGAGAATATCAACAACACAACTATACATGTGTGCCTAAATTAGAAGTGGTTTATGGCATTATGGCATGCCTATATTTTTAATATTTTCAGCATACTGTCTCGAATGCCTAAATGCTGAAAATAATTTCAGCTACCGTAAATAATTTTGGCTACCGTAATTAATTTCGGCTGCTAAAATGATTTCGGCTGCCATAAATGATTTTGTCTGCCGAAAATAATTTTGGCTGGTCTAATTATTCTAATTATTTTCATCTGCATGTAACTAATATTTCTTATTACATGTGTTAAATATGTATTGTATGTACGTACGTACGTATGTACATCTTATCATTGATCAACCTAATTGTGATGTGTTACTGAATTATGCCTTCACTTTCTATTTTTGAAGTACAAGAAAGTTGGTAATCTGTTTAATGTTATTATAGAGATAATGTAATAAACCTTTAATAATAAAGCTTACTTAAACATGAAGATTATTATTCTTAATTAAGTGTTATAATATGAAAACTTACCAACATTGTATATAAAGAGCCCAATAAATGATGCTATTTGATTAGTCATTATAGATCCTATAATATTATCATACAATTTTTAGTTGATTCATGTATTTTTGAATATTTTTATACATCAACAACAGCTTTTTTCCCAAAGATAAAGTAGTAAAATATAAAGAATAATGCCAAATAATTAGCCATTATAGATCCCATGAAATAATTATACAATTTTAAGTTAATTTGTGCTTTTTAAATATATTCACATATTGATGACAGCCTTTTTCTCAAAGATATAAGGGTAAAATATAAAAAATAATACTAAATAAATATAAATCATAATTTCTTTAGAATATCGTATATTAATCTTTTGATAAAACCTGTTTTTTTTTTTTTTTTTTTTTATATTTAAGTATTTTTTTACGACCTTTAAAAGTTTTTCTTTGCAAATCTATTTTATTAAAAAAAAAATGGAAAATTCTGAACCCAACATTTCTAATTCAACATTAGAGGTTATTAAAAATCCCGAACCTACTATTTTTGATTTAACATCAGACGTTATTAAAAATCCTGAACCTATGATTATTGAAAATCCTGAACCTAATATTTTTGATTCAGCATCAGAAGTTATTGAAGATTCAGATCATAATACTCATACTAATAAAAAAAAAAAAAAAAGAGGTAAACCAAAAAATATACTTTGGAATAACCACTTTAAAGAAATTATTAATAAGGATGATGGTTATAAAGGTTGGGAATGTTTATACTATAATGAGCAAAATCCACGTGCATCTGATATAAATATAAATTCGCATTTGGCATTAAGATATAAAAAAGTTCTACTTAATGTTAAACAAGAACTTTTATGAAAATTCCCTATACCTAATCAAAAAAGAAAAACAGAAATTGATATTATTACTGGTGCATAACCACGAATTGATACTAAATTTCAAGTCATAAATAAAATGGATTCTGAACAAAAAGAATTATGTCATAAAGCATTAACACAGCTGTTTGTATATTGTAGAATTCTTTTTTGAATTGTTAAACATCCATTTTTTTTAGATTTTTGCAAAAATTTATGTATTTCATACAAACCACCTGATTGAAAAGTCTTAAGTAATGATTGGCTTAATTCTAAAACAGCACAAATTACAGTTGCTATAAAAAAAGAGCTTCTAACTGAAAGTAATTTTACATTAGGTAATATTATAATTAATAGCTATATTGTAACCAAACTGTAATTTTAGTTAACTAAAGTTATACTTGACTAAAATTGTTAACTAATATATGCAAGTTAATTTAATTTCAGAAGCTAATTTTAGTTTAGTACAACTTTAGTTAACTAAAATTACAATTTAATTTAGATGTCAATTTCGATTATAATAGCTTTTTTTTTAATTATATTATATTTTAATAAATTATTATTTATTTATTACTAGTTTTGGATGGCTGGACAAATAATTGTAGCTACTTATACTTTGCTTTTATAATAATAACTGCAAATAAAAAACAATATGTGCATTCAATTAAAGATTTTTCCTGTGAATCACATACTGCAATTTTTATAGCTGACGAAATTGAAAAGGTTTTAACTGAAATCGGTGCTAACAAATTTGGGGCTGTAGTTTCTAACACCGCTTCTGCTATGACACTTGCTAAACAATATATTTCAGCAAAATATCTAGCTATTTTACTAATTTGATACATTGTACATCATATTCAGTTAATTTGTAGTGATATTGTTTGTAAAACTTTATTTAGAAAAAATATATTACAACAATGTTAATTTTTTGTAACATATTTTTATACATCTCATCGATCTGAAGCAATTTTACGTAATGAAATAACTCATTTTATAATAAATAAAGGTGGATTGAAGAGTTCTGTTTGTTCATGTTGGTCATCAGTATATGATTATATACAATCAGTTCTTAATCTAGAAGTTTGTATTAAATAGGTAATTATTTAATATGTTTTAATATTAACTTATATTATAATTGTTTAATTATAAAAATTTTAATTATATTGTATATAATTAATCAGATTTTAGAGGACGATAATCTTGCTTTAACATCAGACTAGGTCTGAATCCGTTGCTTTGCAATGGTATTTTCTTAATATATAATAATATCCTAATTTATTGAAAAATAACATAAATAAAATTTTATTTATTTATATAATTATTAATTAATTCTTTTGTAATCTTGATATAGTAATTAA